ATTGGAAGATGTTGAAGAAACGAACCAGCTGCTGTTCGGAGAAGGCAGTTGAATCCAAGGGGTACCTGGCTGATAGGTTGTCCAAACCTCTCGAATAGCGTCATCTAAACCGTGTCGATCCTGATGAATAAGCTTGCAGAGATTGGGCTCTACATAGTGGGATAGCCTCCAATCGCGACAAAGCAGGCCAGAAAAGTCTGGTGCAGAAAGCCCGGTAGTGTTATCGTAAATGGTGATCGCACAAAAAATATATTCAGTAATGTCTTCGGTGGAGCGGAGAAGGTGTGGGAGGTGCAACGAAGGTGCATCGTAGGTCTGCCTGCAAATCGTAGCAGCCTGTACCAAAACTGTTTGGAGATGCCGAATCTCCTTCTCGTCGGTTGTATGAAGAAGGATTTGCTTAACCTGGGAAACCCAACGACGCGTCACTGTGCGTGCTTTTCGCAGTAACTCACAAGCGCGCGTGACGCAGTTTTCCTCGGTGACAGAAGCCAAAACCCTTGAGGTCAAAGCGACGATGGTTTGCAAAGCAAGCCCACTTGCCCAGTTATCTTGGAAATGAGTGATCTGGTCACCCAGCTCCACTAGTAAGACCGACCCAAACTCAGGAACCTGTAATTCTTTATGCCATTCCCACTCGCTATGGTCAGATAACGATCCAACCTGGAAGATATAAAATCAGATGTGTCCATTACGCACATAACTAAAGGACTACTTACCTGGCAAGCACTCTGCATTAGTTGCATGTAAACTTCAAGCCGATCAAGGCTCAGGGATTGAGCACGAAGTTCTCGCGCAATATTCAGCCACTGTAGACGAGAACCGCTCCGAAGACAGCCAAAGGCAAGGAACTCGTGAATCCCGAGACTTGTGGGACATTCGGACTGGGCTGCGACCACAGTATTTGTCATGTGGGAAGTAGAACCAACGGCAAACTGTAATCCTTCGTATGGACCTGGTGGAAGCCGGAAAGTACAATGATGGGCTAGAGCAGCAGTACTTGAGACGTCTTTGACCCATGAATCCTTTAATACGTCATATGGTTTGAATTTCAGTCCATTGTTCACGCAGACCGCACTCTCGGCTAGCGGCCAGCCCTGTGATATTTTATTATAGTGCGATTGTACGAAGGACTTGGTCGACGAGGCCAAAGAAATACGATGGTTGCCATCTGTCAGGTTGTAGTACTGCACCAACGTCTTAGGCGGCTGAACGCTTCCTGCGTCGCCTGCCCCACAGTGGTCATGAAGGAACGTGTAAGTGACGTCCCTCCATACTTTGATGGCAAGCGGACAGTGGATTTCGAAAACAACCATCTTCTTTTCGACTGTGTCCCTTGGTAGTGGCCATTCATACATGTCGATGGAGAGACTGTTCATTTTCTGTTGAAGGCTGCACTTAGTACAAGAGTAATAACAATGGTACCGGAAGTAGCTATAGTATTGTTCGTGAGACATGGCCTCTGCTTGCTGCTTCCAACCTGAATAGTCCGCATTCCTTTTCACGAGCTCAGAGATCTTTTGATCCCATGCCACTTGTGCCTTCTGCTCAATAGTACGAAGTTTTTTCTGAAGGCTTGGAGAAGAATCAAAGTAACGAGCTGCGAGTATATCCCAAGATATGGTCTGCGAAAAGAGGCTTGGGTAAACCCCAACACGACTATCATGTCGCCTCTTCAAGTATAACTGAATGCGCTCGAGCCGTGACAGTTCATCGTCCTTACGCAACAAGAGAGCCTCGAAGAGTGAAGTGGGGATCTCAGGAGAATATTCCTCCAATAAAGGATAGTGATGGACCGCAATTCGGTCAAGTGCCATCCAAAGCTCGCCGTACGTAAGAAAGGTAAGCGACAGACTCTCTGGATTCCCACAGTAAAAAGAAAGAGCTGTCGTCGTGTATTCCTTTATCGCGTCAGCGACAACGGTACAAGAAGATTCCTGATTGAGGTTGGCAGCAACCCAGTCCGGAAGGGTATCGCTAACGGCTTGCTCAAAATCGCCTAAAATGAAAGGATTTTTCGCGAGTCCTCCAGTCCATTGCATGTTATCAACATACTCGACGAACGCCTGTCGACGACGTGCTTCGTCTGGGTGAAATCCTGAGGTATGAAGCGGAGCAGATTGATTCCGGATAACCTCAGTTAAGTACGCTCGACTGCGAGTGAGACTGAGAGTCGTGTCCACCTGGAGGTTGAACTGCTCCGGATTCCAAGGAGGCGAGCATGCTTGTTCTGCCTGGATTTTGTCCCAGCGACGCTGTATCAATTGGCCTGCTTTCTTGGTGGCCTCGTCGACAAGAGTGTATATAAACGTAGGAGCGGTGTCACGGATCTTACTCAACCTCCAGCCTACCTTCTTCATCATACAATTAAGCAGCTCGCTCGACAAACCAGACTCGCAATGCGAGAACTGGTGCAACAGCTTAGACATAAAGAAGAGCATGAAGACTTTGTAGTCCTGATGATTTCTCGAGGCACAGTGCAGTGATGTCTGCAGCACGACTCGAATAACCAACCATAACCCTGAGCGTCTCCACGGAAGTTTCGCTTTATGCCACAGAACGTCGTCTGCAATCCGTTTCTGAATCCGAGGAACATCTGCAATTTGCCCAATCCCGCGCAGGATCCCCGTGAGCAAGTCGATTATATACCGGGGATCTGATGTGTCTCTTGTTTCCGTGACTTTTGATCCCGCTTTAACAGTTACGGGAGTGGAATCAAGAGGATCTCGGTCCATCTCGGACAAGAAGAGGGAGAGTTGCTTAAGAAAGTTGGGGTCACTGACGACGGATAGTGATACGGCGATTGCAGGCCCTGGGTAGGAGACCAAAAGTTTCCCTTTTGCCTCCATGACGGCGCTTGTGCTGGGGGAGACCTCAAAGGACTCAAAGATCACTTCAGTGGTCGACTGGCGTAATACAACAGCGGCATTTTGTGCGCGAATCATAAAGGCAGTGACGTCTGTTGGATATAGCTTAATCAACAACACAGCTCGAGAAACGAAACTTTGACAAACCTCCAGGTGACATGCGGTGAATCTGTGATCGAATTTCCTCGGGATCAAGGATAGAGTCTTTCACGGAATTGCAAAGATTCTGTAACATCCGATTCATCGGCTGCCATCGAGCACGGAAACCCTGATCGTGATGGGATACATCGTCGTAGTAGTGTTGACTGATTTCATGCACCGTAGTAGCAAGTTCTTTGTCGTGGGTCAAGCTATGATCTGATTGCTGTGGCAATTCTGGAGGCAAGAAAATATGTGTTACAAGGTATGGAGCTGGCTCTGGAGGCGGTAGATTGACCATCGCGACCATTTAGTAGCGCAAGGGCTAGTTTCTGGCTTCAACGCGTGCTCTCCTGATATGGGTGGTGATGAGCAAGAAAGTGACAGAGTTGATTCTTAGGGAGTATTTGTACCCTCAGCCCTCGTTAACGAGCGCTTTAGAGATGCCCTCGAGGCAGCTTCGTAACCTTTGGACCCACAGAAAATGCATCCATACTTCCAGCACAGGACGGCGCTTACAGACTGCCTTCTACACTTTGAGCTAATCAATTTCACAACTTCAGCAAGCCAAATACCATTTGGGAGTAGCGTAGTTGTATCTGTCATAGAAAAGTAAGAGATGATTGAAGAGTATCATCACGGTAGCCAGAGTCGTACTTGTGATATGAACAAAATACTCAAGAGTTGATGAGAGAATAGATGATCGCGATTCGTGAGTCAACTCAATTCAATTGCTGTCGAGATTGTTTATGTCTATGAGCATTGATAAGCTCTTCCTGCATTCTGATTGGCTATTCCGTCTCACATGATGTCACACGTTCACCAACAAAGCCACATCTACTTTGACGACAGTACCACCGGACAGCTGTGTTCAACCTCGAATGCGAGTGGTAGGAAATCAATGGTAACTAGTACAAGTCTGAGTACATACAGGATCAACAAGACAATGACGACCAACCGCTCGACTTCTTACAACCCAATCCCGAGCATTACCACTCTACGAGCTCTCATCCTCTTCGACAGCCGCAATGCGCATGCTTCCAATCTGCCGCCGATCACGCTGCCGATGTATAGTGAGCAGTCCATTTCTTACAGTTGCTCTTCTTCAAATGGTCAATTGGTGTTGTTTTTAAGCTGTTGAAATAAGCGAAGGAAACGTTTGGCCTCGGTGAGCTCGTGAGGCAAATGGATAGTGTACATGCTCGAATGTACTCTACCTATATACGAAATATCTACATACTTAGATAAATATCAAATGATTAGTGCAGCCACAAAAATGCAAGTATGACTACGGGCGGAGTCCGGATCGCGCTCGCTCGTAATCTTAGCGCTCATATTCCAACAGAAGCATGAGTCTTCTGTTGGGTTTTAGTATAGGCGTCGCTCTTAGCAAGGAGAATGGCGTACAGTCGCAATTGGATATGGGCTTATAGTAGATTCTAGAATACAAATGTAGGGCTGTTGAGCGTTATTAGAGTGGTGATCGTTGCTTCGGATGTCATCGTCGTCGTTTCGACGCTGCGCAGTGCTTCAGGAATGGTGCTCATTTAGCTTGGGACGGTAGTTCTGCTTATGATATAGGTTCTTTACAAGGAGGACCTCGTGCTTGAATTGGTCTTCAACCTGAACTGTCTTTATCCTATGACGCCGTCGACTTCTTTCCGCCTGGTGCGCCTCGTGGTGGTAGATGTGAATGTATAGCGTTCGCACACGCCACATCGAGGAAGATACTTCATTGCGTCGAACTTTCCTCGGAATCAGAAATCATGCTTGAAAATTACTAAATGACAGCACAGTCCACCCAATCACAAAACCTTTGTCCGTTGTATCATTCGCTCCTCAAGATTTCCTCCTGAACGTGCCAATATATATAACATTTCGATTAAGTATATAAATCACGCCGATCGTGAAGTCTTGGACGTTTCTCAGAGGTAACAATCTGTATATTAAAAAAGCATATACGTACATAAAGATTGCTCTATGTTATGTTTCTATGGGCGTTTAGCGCAGTGGTAGCGCGTATGCTTTGCAAGATACCGGGCGACCGGTTCTGATCATGTGTATAAGGTCCAGGGTTCAATCCCCTGAACGTCCATTACGTTTTGCCTAATTCTGAATCATTTTAAAGGTTCAACTCTTCTTGACTCCATTCGTAGTGAAGCTGTGTGAACATGCTAAAAACGTACTCAAACTGTCTAGTGTATAATGATAAATTCACGGATTTGATCTTTGTCGAGGGAAGCAAGTTCTGATTCCTGGGGTGTATATCGTCAACGAATTCGAATTTTTGCATACTAGTGACGGTTTCGTTCGATCTGGCGAAGACGATAGGAGCTAGCTTGTACGAAACGTATGACCTACGAGTATATAAAGCGTAAAATCAAAATCTTTGCAGCTAACTTACCTGGATTCTGGGTGGCGAGTTGCTGTTCAGCATCATAGAAGGAGGATGAATGGACTGGATGAGAAGCTGCATTAGCGGAATGGCCTAACCAGAACGATTATCTGATCCACGAGGCGCTGCTTACAGATATTACTAGCAAGTCTCGGCTTCATAGGTTTGCATGCCAAGTGAATAGCTACTTGTAAAAAGCATCGAAGTAGAAGGTTTGAGATACTGCAACAAAAAAATTTCTTTCGTCTGCTTTCCAGTGCTAAAGGCTCGAGATCATGGATAGACCCTTCCTTTCATTGGGATAAATTGTTGGGATACCCATACGGTTAAAGACCAACGTGACTACAGAATTCTGAATGCTTAATACATTATGCGATTTAGAGAAGAAAATTCTTCTGTCTCGCATTCTATAAACCCCAAAAGACGCCTTTAGGTGATCACATTGGCAAGTGGGCCCAGCAATGGAAACGGGAGAAGTCTTCTATTTTTATCGATGATGACAAGACGTGAAGCAACAGAAGTTGCGATTCTTCATCCGGACCACCGAATAGAATAGAATATAAAGCATACAGAGTCTGGAACTGAAGTTGGTCGTATGACTGGAGATGGTGAAGTTTAAGATGGAAGCGACTTGTCGTTTGACGCGCCACCATTTGCTCCCGTTTGTTTCCGAAAACAGTAATGAACGCCAACGCTATTCGCGTCAGAATGAACGGCCACCAACCGCCAGCTGACGGTCCGGGACGTGGCAATATTCTTGCAAATTCTTACTTGATGACCTAGTCGCTTGTTCTACGCCGGCTTATCTTCACTTCTATGTCATGCAAGGCCGTCAGGCGACACTCTCAAGGACGTCAGTGAAGGTGGAGAAGTTGGAGAACACGTCGCTTCAAAATGCTACAAACATCAAGGCAAGGAAGGCGTATGGAGAGGATAAACCATTCTCTGAAAAGAGTGGAGAGTTCCCAGGTCCTCGCTATAAAAGCAAGGTCGAAGTTATGACGGGTTTTGGACATTCTGAAGCCATGCATCCGACACGTAGGGTGCAGCGGAGGTCGCCGTGGTTCTGGTTGTCGACTTGTCTCGTGTCTGTGCTGTTTGTTTCCGTGTCTTCGAGATCTTCCGGCACGGCATCGTTGTCTTTCAACCAGTTGCATGGCATCTTTACGCGCTCATGGATATCCAACCTGAATGATGTCACCAGTCGAGATGAGGAATCCACACAGCTCGCAGATCTTACGAGGACGGATCAAGTCCAATTCGATAACTATAGTTTGATTTTGAGAGGCCAGAGGGTATTCCTATAGTATGTGTTCTTTTCACCTTCGACGATTTTCTTCGCTTATAAGGACGATAGCTCGGGAGAGTTCCATACATTCCGTCTTCCAGTTCCCTCCCTATGGCCGGATATTCTCCAAAAAGTCAAGGCTGCCGGCCTGAACGCGGTCAGCGTCTACACACATATGGGTCTTATCAACCCCGCGCCTGGTGTGGTCGATTTCAATGGATTCCGTGCGCTACAGCCGCTATTCGACGCTGCGAAAGAGGCTGGGATTTGGATAGTGCTACGACCAGGTATGTCGTATCTCCCTTCCTTGGGCCATCTAGCTAACCTTTATGTTAAGGTCCTGTAAGTGCGTCGAGACTCATTAATGACTTTTCTGATAGTGCTCTAGTACATCAACGCGGAGACGACTGCAGGAGGTATCCCTCACTGGATAACTAATGAAGTTGCAAGCCCTCTTCGTAGCAACGAGTCCGACTGGAAAGCTGCCTGGCAAGACTATATTCAAGGTATCATCAAAATCACCGCGCCCAACCAGATCACATCAGGAGGTCCTGTTATTGGTACGTCAATTCCACTGTTCGTGCTCGACTACGCTGATCTATTTCCATAGCCATACAGGTCGATAATGAATACTCACAAGACCCGATCAGTCATGCTGAATACTTTGTGGACCTCGAGACTGTTTATCACAACTCCGATATCGTCGTTCCGCTCACATATAACGACCCAGGGCAGGGAAGAAACTTCATCAATGGGACAGTAAGTGTTCAATATGCGCATGTATTCATTCACTAACGTGGCTCTCACTAGGGTGCCGTCGATCTCTATGGGTATGATACGTTTGCTTATATTACGTGTGCCTTTAAATTTGACGATGCTTCAGCTTTGATGCATACCCGCAACGATACAACTGCTCTAACCCAACTGGCTGGTCTCCTGTACCGACCAACTACCACGCGTTTCACGCAGATGCGAACCCATCACAGCCACTCTATATTCCTGAGTTCCAGGGCGGTTCATTCGACCCATGGGGACCGAATTCTCCAGGTATGGCAGACAACATCTCCTATTGGTGGTTGTTAATAATTATTTCAGGATATGAATCATGCAGAGCTCTTACGGGGCCGCAATATGAATCCGTGTTCTACAGGCAGTTATGGGCGGGTAACGCGAAACTGATCAACTATTACATGTTTTACGGGTATGTGATTCCGCTTAACATCTCCTCCTGTATGATGCACATGGTGTGTGCTGTTACAGTGGCACATCCTGGGGCGCTCTTCCCTACCCTGGTGTGTACACGTCCTATGACTATGGCGGCGCTGTATGTCTATTCACAGTTGTGGAAAGCTTAGCACTAATATCCAGATAGATCGCAGAATCCAGAGCACTCACGACGAAATATGATGAAATCAAGCGACAAGGTCTCTTCCTGCGCAGTTCACCCGAATTCCACAAAACGGACTGGATAGGAGACTCATCTACTGGCACCGTAACATCATCGAACCCAGCTGCATTCATCACCCTCCTCCAGAATCCGGACACGCATGCTGCTTTCTATGTTGCGCGACAGAATGATTCCACGTCGACGTAAGTGGACCACTCATGTTTAATCACTCACCAGTTGACACGTTATTGTTCTGAAGAGCAACGACGACTTTCAAGCTCAACGTAACCTCTCCAGCTGGTGCCCTTCAACTGCCGCTCGTCATGCCAGCGATCACCCTTGGTGGACGTGAATCGAAAGTTTTCGTCACAGGCTACACCTTCGGTGCATCTTCCAAGTTGCTGTACTCCACTACCGACATTTTCTACGCTGGTACGATTGATGGTCGCGATATCCTATTCCTACATGGAAACTCGGCTCAGGACCACGAAGCTGCCCTTCTCTTTGTGGGCAAACCCACTCAGACGCATCCAACTATATCTCCTCTCGTCAAATTCACAACTAACAGCACTAGTCTCGCACAGAACGGCACGACGATTGTCAGCTTCCTTGCTGGCATTGAAGGGCTCGTCACCGTGTGGGACTCAGACAAACAGTTAGTTCTCTTCGCTGATTCGGAGACGGCAGCGACCTTCTGGTCACCTGTGATTGCAGGGAAGAGCACCGATCCACTTAGGAACTTCTGGGGTCTCGGTACGAATCAATCGGTTCTCGTCGGTGGTCCTTATCTCGTCCGTAATGCTACTTTGACTGGCACGACATTGGCACTTCGCGGAGATCTAAAGACCGGTGTACGTTTGACTGTGATTGCTCCCAAGAGTGTCAGGACGATAACTTGGAACGGCGAGCGAGTATCCAGCGATGTTGCTGCGTCTTCTGCTGTAACCGCCACCGGAGGCTTCGTTGGCCAGTTGGCACCAAAGATCTCACTTGCCAGCATTCCCGTTCCGAAGTTGACTGGATGGAAGTTTAAGGACAGCTTGCCGGAGATTCAGAGTTCGTTTGATGATAGCTCATGGACAGTTGCTGACAACACCACTACGAATATCCCGTGGAAGCCTTTCTATGGTGACGGAAGGATCCTATATGGTTGTAATTATGGATAGTAAGCACTTCCCATCGAATTCTGTTGGTTGTATACTGATACTTGTTCAGCTGCGAGAACACTGTTCTTTGGAGAGGTCATTTCATGGCCACTGGTGCCGAGAAGAGTGTAAATCTATCTATCAACGGGGGAGAAGGTTCGTAATAACGTTGCTATCTGAGCTATTGTTGACTTCGTCGCTAGCTTTCGCTGCGAGTGTTTGGCTCAACAACGTCTTCTTGAACACGTCCTTTGGAAAGTGAGTATCTTATATGATACTCCTATTAAACCACTCTGATAACTCTCGCACAGTTCGACAAACAACCGAAATATCCTAGAAGAGACTGATGATAAGTTCGTCTTCCCCGCTGGCTCTCTCCTGGCTGGGAAGGACAACGTCATCACAGTCGTCCAGGATAACATGGGGTTGAACGAATCGCAATGTATGTCCCAGCATGGACTGTCGTGGTAATATCTTTGACCCATTCACACAGCCACTCCAAACACTTCCAAGAGCCCTCGTGGAATTCGTGGATTCAAGCTCGATACAGGAAACTTTACGACATGGAAGGTACAAGGCAAGGTTGGTGGATACAATGGGTACGTCGCACATCTCAATTGTATTTGAGCACTCCTAACTACGTCATTAAACTACAGTTTCCTAGACAAGACTCGAGGTACGCACACTCACTGCTTTTTGTCAAATCTCCAAGTATTGATTCATTATTGTCCAGGTGTCCTCAACGAAGGTGGTCTCTTCGGTGAACGCAAAGGCTGGCATCTACCTGGCTTCTCTACTGCCGGATGGGCTTCTCGCTCGCTCTCATCTGGTCTTCCCAACAACACTGCCGGCGTTGGTTTCTTCGTCACGACCTTCAAGC